TAAAAAGTGGGGATCATAGAGACCTGGTGTGGGAAGAAGACAAAGTTGAAGGTAACAGAAAGGGGAGTGGAAAGAGAGAGTGCTGTTGAATGTGGGGAGGTTTACGGAGAGGTTTGTGGGTTTGAAAGATAGAAGCGGGGAGACAGAACAATGGTACAGACCTGTCATTGTGCAACAAGGCAGGATAGAACACTATGGGATTCAGAGAGAGAATGCTGTGAAGTGGAGAAAAGGAGGGAAGGTTAATAGAAAACAGTAAAGCAGATAATATGTTAAAAACAAATAAGTTAAAATTATATTAACAAGAAAAATGCTTTCTTGTAATTAATGTAACAATGTGGCCCTTTTGAGTTAGGAAAATAAATGGGCCTTGGTGTGGTTTGATTTATGTACCCATGCTGTATTGGGATTACAAGTGCATTCCAGTTCTAGGAGAGAAGTACTTGGTGATTTAATCCATAGGATTGAGAAAATGGTGTGATATTGTTTCATGGCATGTGATGATGCAGAGGTACAGGAATCCAGCCTCTTTACAATATGATAATCAGGTGGTAATTACTTAGAATGAAAGCATAAATGTTGATTGTCTTATTTACTGTCTTTGTCTCTCACAATTTTGATGGTAGTATTTATTTTAGAATGAATAGGCATTTAAGTTATTCCAGAAAGCATGAAGCTCAATTGTTAGATCAAATTAAATCAACTCTGATTCTTAAATAAGTCAGGGAAGGGTGGGTGTGGGTTTTTTGGGTAGTTGGTCGAGTAATGATTATGTGTGTTAGTCATATTAAACTTAAATATATTAGCTGATTTACACTGAGGTTGTACCACAGCACGCTTCTTTTTTTGTTCAACACCTTATCAAAACATTCAGCTTTGGCTGCTTTTTTCCATATATGCTAGGAATTAGATATATTTAAGGCATATCTCTTTAGAAGTATCAAAATTATAATTAAAAAATTATTCAGTGCCATGTGAAGCATACCTTTGTGCTTATTTGTCCTTGTGCTTGGGGGCCATCTGCTTGTGAGTAAGACATACCTTGCTGTCACATCCAGATGAGCAAACCATAGTTTGAAGTTGGTTTGCAGTTCTGATTTGGATGCAGCACTAAGTATGGTTTGCACTAAAGCGGAAGTCACAAGATTATGAAGGAAGGGGCATGTAAGCAAAAGAGCTTACTCATATAATGATAACCTATAGTTCAGCTTTACATCTGAAATCTACAGAAGTGCAGATGTGAAGAGTTATGGTACTTCATTTATTTAACTATTTTATCACTTTTTTGGCTCAATGCTGAGGTCAAAAAAAATTGCTTCTTTCATATGTTCTGGTTTGAGAGGCAAAGTTCTCTTCATCAGATTTCTCATAAAGGGAGCTTTGACTCTCAAAAACTTATGCTCTGGAGATCTTGCTGGTCTTTAAGGTGCTACTAGACTCATACTTCATATGGTCCTTTTTTCCTGTGCCTTTCTGAGATGCACTGGAAATAAATGACTGTTAATCTTAGCTATTTATTTATATAAAGAGTACATTTTAATGTGGTCATTCCTCCAAGGAGCTCAGGGTAGTGTACATTGGTTTCTCCTCCTCCATTTTACTTTCCCAATAACCCTGTGTGTGAGCGAGGTTAGGCTGAGATATAGTGACTGGCCCAGAGTTACTTAGAAAAGCTTCCATGGTACAGTGGGGATTTGGACCGGAGACTCCCAGGTCAAGTACATTAAAGCATGTTTATTTTTCTTCATGTTGATCTTCTTTTTACAAAGTTTGAACAGAGTGATATTGAATGAAATGTTTAAGCAACTTCAAGAGTTGCCCCTATGCATTTAAGGATTTGTTCTTCAACTTATGTGATAGGGTTAGATAGGCTGACAGCACAAGGGAAGAATCAGGAGTTGAAAATACTTTGGCAAAATGTGATGATGTAAAGCAGGGACCCTCTCTAAGTTTGTGAATATTAGGTAGGACAAGATAAATCACTGATGCAAGCATTTATTGAAGATTTTTATAAGATTTGATGGTGTCTACTACATCTAAATTACAAAGTATCATTCTCAGTCTGTAGATTTTTCCACCCAATTTGCACCATTCTTTGAAATGATTCAATACTTTATTGTTGTATAATAACAATATAAATGTTTTAAGAAACACCATTGTAGTCTGATATTCTCATAATAAAACCACTTCCTTTTCCCCTAGACATTTGAAGTGAAAGTTAATGAAAGATCGTTGTTTTAAGTTCTGCAATCAAGAACAGTAAATGTTCTTATGCTGTCTAATGAAGAATGGCTACCCCATATGTTCCCGTTCCAATTCCCATAGGAAGTTCTACTAGTTTTGCAGCAAATAGAAACCAAAGAAGATCATCTCTTGGAAGCATTTCAACAAGCTCAAGTTCTTCCAAAGGGCATCTGGAAGACTCTTCTAACAGTAGCTTTAAAAAAATGAGTGTCCCTGATGAGATTGGTGCCACTTCATCTCCTTGTAACAGCCCACTTGTTAGGACTAAGTTTGTAGGCATGAACTCATCTATGGAATACTGTACACAACCCTCAGAAGATACCACACAAAACACAGACTCTGGGAGCTGGGAAGATCGGCCTACAACACCTACAATACTAGGGTACGAGGTGATGGAAGAGAGAGCAAAATTTACTGTAAGTTGTGGGTTTGTTGTCTCAAATCCTTCCTTGTTTGAAGATTTTTACTCCAACACTTTAATATTTGAAGATTATAGAATGTTTTATGAATATTAGTCTAACTTCATGGTGAGCTGAATCACAGGTATGGGATTCTTCCTAGACTTTTCTTTACTTTAATGATTTTTAAGTGGCCCCTGCTGTACAAGGCTCTTTGAACTTCTATAAAACTAGCTGGTTTCAATTAAAAAAAAAAGATAAATACTTAAGTTCTGAAACTTTAACTTTGTTCAGCTGTATACAGGTGGCTTCAAATTTGCTTGATCACATAGGACCACTTCTACTATTTTTAGCCTGATCCCACTGTTTGGTTTTTGAAGTGTTTGGAGGAGGATGGCTATTCTGAATTGGCAGCACTGTTTTATACAAGCAAGGGCTTGTGTTGAGTTGGCTGCATGCTCTTGTTCATTAGCTCCAGTCAATGAATTGAGAACTCCATTATAATAAACAGAATTACAGTAGCAGGCAGGCTGCAAATAAGCAGAAAGGAAAGGACTCAGTCTACTCTCAGGAGTCATGTTCCTATGGAATAAATGCCAGTAATGTACCTAGATGTTTTAATACCTGCTTACTTGGTAATGTTGAAAGATAACACTAAACTTAGAACAATGTTTCTGAATATTGGGTTGTATCCTACCATTCCACTCAGCTAATTTGAGATCCTTTTTTCAGTGTAAGAAGCTCACCAGAGGAAGAGTCTTTTGTACTAGTGGTAGGCTCTGCACTTAGCTGAGCAGAGTGGTAGGATGCAACACCTCCTGTTGGGTGTTGTGATTCTTCTGATAGTGTTGGGTCAGCGATGATCCTTCATGAGAGCCCCTTAAAAAACAACATATTCTAAATCTCTTTCCATTCTTTAAATTCATCACAATTTGCAATCCTAACTGTGCAGTAGTCTCAGGCAGAGGTCTTTCACATCACCTACTACCTGGAGATGCCAGGGATTGAACTTGGGACCTTCTGCATACCAAGTAAATGCTTGACCACTGAGCCACAGCCCTTACTAACACAGATTCAAAGTTAATTGCTTTCCAAAATGTAATATGAGAAACACAGTATTTCTGTGGTTACCAGCATATGAAGTAGACATGCAGATCATCTCTTCTATAGGCTCAGTGTCTACCTCCTAGCCCTGAGTGCACACATTCTCATAAAATCCCCTGTTGCAGTCCATGGAGGAGGAGCATCAGCAGGTTTTGGCTGATAGGATTAAAGCTACCTGTTAGTTCCTGGTGAAACAGGAGAAATAGATGGGCATCCAATAATTTAGATATTAAAGTACATATGTTAGCTTTATTTTCTAATTTCAGTTATCATAAAATTAGCAAATTCTGATGTTAATTCACCACATTCTCAATGGGTGTTACTTATAACAGTTAAAAGTCTGATGTCTTAACCATATTTATATGAATATAAGGGCCAGTAAAGCCAATGACACTTGCTATTGACACAGTTACAATCAGATTGTAAGGTTGTGCATAATTTGTGGAAATCTTCTGTGCTCATGAATGAGTTTTTAAAAATGTTTGTAAAAATACAGCTGGCACCAGTTGGCTTTCTGAAAAATACTACACTTGTAAATACCATGCCAGCCTTATGCGGTCATGAAACAGATGTTTATTTTTCAGACTTAAGTAAACATTTTGCAAGTTTTGATTTTACGTGTTCTCTTCCTCAAACAAAGCATGTTTATGTCAGCTTTCCAGTAATTGCAGTGTAATAATGTGAGAATGCTACACTGCACACAAGATTTAGTGAAGTTGCTTTAATAGATTTCTGCTTAACAGGTTTATAAAGTCCTTATTAAGAGAAATCCTGAGGAAAACTGGGTGGTTTTCAGAAGGTATACCGACTTCTCCAGGCTTAATGACAAGGTAAACAAAAAGGCAAACATGTCCAGGCAAACAATATAAGCCTTCCTTTTTTTCATTTTTTCATAAATTGACAGGTTTTCAAAATATGAATGGTTTGTGATTGAGAAGTATTGATAATTATTTTATCATAGACTATTACTCATAAAAATACCTTCCAATTAGGGTTCCCCACCCCCAGTTCCTGTTTCCAACCATTGTTCCAGTGATGTCACAATAATTTGTGATGTCACTTCGGGAGAAGCCTGGAAATTACATCAGTCCAGTCTAGGAATCACCAGAAACTATGGTTTTACCATAGCATTTCCAGCAATTTGCCGAGAGTCACAATGTCACTTCCAGGTTTTCCCTTAAAGTGACGCCCCCCCCCCCCACGCACATGCACTCCAACCAGTTGCAAGTCTGTGCCTCACAATGCTTCCTCCTTTATTAACCAGAAGTGCAATAACATGTAATTATCCTTCTGTAAAGTATTTGCCTTTGAAAATATGTCCTGTATGCGGGGAATGTAGTAATTTTTCTGTTCCTTAATATCTCTGTATAATCAGGGCTTTTTTGTAGAAAAAGCACAGCAGGAACTCATTAGCATAACAGGCCACACCCAACAGCAGAAACACATTAGCATATTAGGCCACATCCCTGACAGAGCAGCTCATTAGCATATTACGCCACACCCCACATTACCAGAAGTGTGGTCATCCAGCCACACCCACTTTTTGCTTCTTATTCTGTTTACCTTGCTTGTTGTCAAAACCCAGGGCTTTTTTTGTCGCAGGAACCCTTTGCATGTTAGGCCACACACCCCTAATGTAGCCAGTCCTTTTTTTTTTTTTTAAATAATAGTCTTTATTTATTTTAACACCACACAGGACTCAACAGCATAACCCTCCACCAACAAAACACACCATATACATCTAATACAGAACCTCCTGGTCATCTTAGTCATCGTCTAGCCGTTTAGCCATTTATATACCGGTGACCAAACGTTCTTGAATCTTGAGCTCATATTTCCATTTATCTTTTGAGTTAGATTGTCCATTTCGGCAATATCAATCATTTTGATAATCAGTTGTTCTTTTGTCGGTACCTGTTCAGCTTTCCATTCCCTGGCCAACACCAGCCTAGCAGCTGTGAGTATATGTAGAATTAGGAATTTTTCTTTTTGTCTCCAACCATCTGGAAGGATGGTCAACAAAAATATCTCGGGGTCCATAGGGATTTGTATTTTAGTGATCTGCCAGATCAACTTCTGTACCTCCCTCCAAAAAGCCTTCACTTCAGGGCATAGCCACCATACATGATAGTAAGTACCAATCTGGTACTTGCATTTCCAGCATTTTGCATCCAGTCCAGTATATATTTTAGCCAACTTTTCAGGAGACATATACCATCTGTGTAGCCTTTTAAAAAATATTTTCCCTAAGAGCCA